GTTTCACTGGGTCAAAATCAAGGTGGACCACACTTCTGTAGAGGCTCTGGGGAGACTCCAGGACTTTTCTAGCTTTTGATGATTGCCACCATTCCATGGTCTGTGGCTGCATTAGTCCAGCCTGTGCCTCTTCCCATCAGTGTGTCCTCTGTTTGTACGGTTTCCTCTTCTGTCCAATCTGTCTCTCTTATAAGGACACTCGTGATTGCATCAAGGTCTTACCTGATACTCCAAGGTAACCTCCCCATTCAGGATACTTAACTTAGCCATGTCTACAAACTTACCTTTTCATTCTAAGGTAATATTTACAGGTTCCAGGGATTAGAGTCTGCTATCTTTGGGTGATCATTAGTCTACTACCTGTAAGGGAGGGGAAGGGCACTTGTTTCATAGTCTCTTACTAGGCAAAGTTCTGTAATACTGTAGTTGAGTCTGGGCAGTAGGCCTGCTATTGAGAGGCTTGTTAGCCCCATTACACAGATTGGAAAACTGGCTCACAGCAGTTCCATCAAATGGCTAATAATTGGTGGACCTGGGTGGCAACCTTAGTCAGTTGAGTTCCAAAGCAACTTTACTTGGACCTGGAGACTAGTTGGTTGCAGTCTTGCCTTGGCTCCTGTGATACGCTGGTATCAGAGAACTTTGCCCAAACTTGCTGTGAAGGCTTAGAAGTAGGGAGGAACTCCCCACAGGCCTAGCAGTGAACTTGGAAAGTTTAGAGCCTGGGCTTGACCTCAGGTCAGAGCAATGATGTAACTTAAACTCACCTACTGCTGGGAACCCGCCAGCCCCACACCAGCACTTCCTAAACAACATTTTCTTCCCAAAGGGAGAGAGGGGCCAGAGCTCAAGTTCTTCAGGGTGTTGGTGCCAAGGTCAGTGGGTAGCTGGTGGTCCACCCTCTAGTTTCAGGCCTGGATGCCGATGTGGCAGCCATAGGACACAAATCCTTTTGCAAGGGGTATACTCAGGCCTTCAGTTTTAGGGACAAACCCATATTTTCCCAGGACCGGCTGTCAGGCCTGACTCTGCTGTGGTTCAGGGGGCTTCTCTTACGGCTACATTAGATTTTGCTTGTGCCTAAATCTCAGCTCCTGCATACATTTATAAACTGAGGATACTGTTTCCTGCCACTTGGGCTGTGATTAAGATAACTAAATGAAGTCATTCTTTGTATCTGGCACCTGGTGTACAGCAGGCATTTAATTAAGAGAAGTTCATTTTTCTTCCTGGCCTTTCCCTGCTTTCGTGCCTAGTTCTACTCAGGCTGTTGGCTGTGGTGAACACATTGTTGGGCTCTAGGCATTACTAGTGCTTTGTGGCTGAGGTAACTTCATTTCTTTTTTGTTTTGCTTTTTTTTTTTTCTTTTTTTTTTGCTTTTGAGACAGGATCTTGCTATGTAGTTCAGACTGGTCTTGAGTTCATTATGTACCCTAGGCTGGCCCAAACTTGTGGCGATCCTCCCACCTCTGCCTCCTAAGTGCTGGGATTATAGTCATTCGCCACCATGCTTGGCACAGAAGTGACTCCGTTTTTCTCATCCAATTAACAAGTATTATTGAAGGTCTTAGTGGGTTGGTCCTTTGCTCAGGTGCTGATCTTAATGGCAGGGTCAGGGCCATTCCTCTGTTTCGCAACACCCCATGTTCTCCTCTTTTGCCACCCTGCACAGTGTGTGTGGTCATTTCGTTTCCTTGCCCCTCCCCTAGCAGTTTGTGAGTTTATTGGGGTAGAGAACAAATCTGATTCATTGCTCTGTCCTCATTACCCAGCCCAGGATCTGACTCATATCTTTGTTAGATGGCTAAGAGGCCCTCCCTTCTATTTTTATTTTATTTTTTGTAGTACTGGGGATTGAGCCTACATCCTTGAGCATGCTAGGCAAGCACTCTGGCGCTGGGCTATAGCCCCAGCCCTTTTTATTATTTTAAAATTTATTTTAAGATAGAATCTCCCCAAGTTGCCCAAGCTGTCCTTGAACTTGTGACTCCAGCCTCACTAGTTGCTGCAGTCATAGGCTTGTGCCACATGTCAGGCCCCCTTGCTACCTCTTTGTTTGCTTTTTTGCCTTTCTCTTTTTCCCAGGTGTGAGGGCAGGATGTTGTCTACCCTTCTTTTTTCATAATGCTTCCTTGTGTCAGGTCTGGTGCTGTGGATACAGTTGTGCTTCCTTATAGGTCACTCCTGGCTGGGGTGGGCCCCATGCTTCTGGGAGGAGGCTGACCCTATAGGGTAGGGATAGGCTTGGGGTAACTGGCTGGAGTGTGCTAGTCCACAGCCTCCAAGTTAGAAGGGAACCTGGACTGCTGGAATGTTGTACCCAAGCAGGAGTCTTGGTGCTGCCCATGGGAGCCCATTAACCACCTCCAGGTGCCTTTGTCATCTCTAGGAATCTAGTCATACCTTCCTGGGTTGTGGGCCTTGATGATGGAGCTGGCTAGGTATTCTCTTGTCTTTCTTCATCCCTTCCTCTCTAGCCACTCAATTAGGGCTTTTTGAGGGTCTGTCAGTCATACTTCATTTCTTTCTATGATGGCCTCTCTCTTTCTATGATTGGTAACACCTTATCAAGATACAGTATGTCATTAACAAAGATGCCTCAGGTCCTACAACTACTATGTCTTTTTTTTTTTTTTTTTACTATATGTCTCTTGACAACTCTGTCAAGTAGACATACCCCTCATTTGATAGGAAACTGAGGGTTGGTGAGTTTAGCAGTTTCCCTGAAATCATGCAGCAAGGCAGTGACATCTAGGGCTGGAACCCAGAATTCTTGACCTCTAAACTTTTCTTTTGCTTTGAGACAAGGTCTCACTGTGTAGTTCAGCCAGGCCTTGGAGTCACTATGTAGCCCAGGCTGTCCTTGAACTTACCACAGTCCTCCTGCCTCAGCCTCCTAAGTGCTAGGATTACAGGTGTGCACCACCACGTCTGGCTTGGCTATTTCCAAACTTTATGTTTACTACTCTTCCAAAGATTTCTCTCCCTTGGTTTCCCTGGGAGATGGGTTCCACCCATTGCCTGAGCTGGGGACAAATGGCCTGGAAGAGAAGTGAAACCCTCTGTGTGGTCAGCATTAGACTGGATCCTATAAATCCCCTGGATAGGGTGGTGTCCCCAAGGAGCAGGCTTGGGATCATACATATACTGTAGTTTGCAGCCCTATTGCTCCACTTCTCCTTCTAACCCTTAATCCTAAAATCATTATAGGAAATCTGTTGTAAAAATAGTTTAACTAAAACATTAGATTGTGATTCTAAAAATAGAGATTTAAATTCTCCTTTTTACCAAGAAAGTAAAGCAGAACTGCTAATTCTGCAACATCATGCCTAAAAACATGGCTTTCTTACTTTTAAAGGATAGAAGTAATCCATTAGTCTTAGGAACTAAAAACTTGGTGCAACTCCAAATAAAAGTAATAAATTTATTTATTTCCTCATTTATTGTTTACCTATTTCTACTCACCGCCCCAATTCTCTTATCTAATGTGACTTTACCTAAATATTTAACCTGTCCAATATATGTAAAATCAATTATCTCGTTATCATTCCTTATCAGTATAATTCCTACTTTAATATTACTATACTTAGGTCAGGAAATTGTAATTTCTAGTTGAAATTGAATTTCTATTCAAACCCTGAACTTTAATATAAGTTTCAAATTAGATTATTTTTCTCTTTTATTTATATCAGTAGCATTATTTGTTACATGATCAATTATATGCTGGATCAGGCTGGCTGATTCTGGGGGCCAGCAGAGGGCGCAAGGGGCTTGGGAAAGGTCTACTGCTCGTTTTGTTTTGCAATGGAAAATGTATTTTAAGTGGTACTTGGTCATTAATTTTTTTAAAAATCTGAAAGTACACATTTGCACAGGTTCCTTTGACTTGAGTCCTTGAGGTCAGATATGCTTTGGAATTTAGAAAACATTGAGGATTTAGAAAAGATGGCTTGTGTGTATACTTTGTGTTATGTAACACTCCAGCAGGGTCTGTGTCAGCACCTTCTAATCAAACACCTGAATATTTCTGCATTGAAATTTTTGAGTACTCACTCCTAGATGGGATATCTGGGTACATGTCAGTTCTGATCAGGTTATGATACAAAATGAGTCAGGTAAAGGCTGTGAACTGGGCATGGTGGTGCTTACCTGTAATCCCAGCCCTCTGGCAGGCTGGGGCAGAAGCATCAAAAGTTTGAGCTTAGCCAGGGCAACTTAGCAATTTAATGAGACCCTGTCTCAAAAATTTAAAAATAAGATAAAAAGGGCTAGGGAAGGTAGCTCAGTGTGAAGACCCTTTATTTGGTGCCCAGTGCCACACACACACACACAACACAGACTTTGGATTTCCTGATGTCTTTTTTTTTAAGAGTTTTGATGGTCAAACTTATTTTAGGTTTTCGGATTTGAGACAAGGGACTATAAGCACAAGGTCCTGAGTTTGATCCTCAGTACCAAAAAGAAGAAGGAAGGCAAATGAAAATTATCTGTGACACCAATTATTAGGGACAATATTTTAATATTTTGTGGTCTAGCCTTCCCAAATTTGCATAAATATGTGTTTGTATATGTACATATTTGTAAACATATATATGTGTTAAATGTTTTCAGTCATAAATGAGATCATGCTTTGCACACTTTTTGCCTTGTACAATGCATTTTAGAATTGCCCAGCTGTATGTGAAGCTCAGTATCTAGACTGTTATCAGTCATTCTCTGCCCAGGTACTTGTCATGTCTGGGCCCCTGACCATCTGTACTAGGAACTGCGAGGTCAGCAGGAGTCAGAAGTCAGTTGAGGCCCTTCTGGGATGAAGACTTTCCCTAAAAGAAAAGGGTCTTCTACTCTATATGCATGGAGTGGTGATGACAGGCCAAGAACTTTACCCTGTCCAGTGTCCTTGCTGCTAGTCATTGGGCTCATCAGGAACTTGAAGGCAAGGACACTGGGGAGGGAGTATAGGCCTTCCCTGTTGCTGACCCCCACCTCTTCCCTCCAGCAGGAGCATTGGTTTGAAAAGGCCCTACGGGACAAGAAAGGCTTCATCATCAAGCAGATGAAGGAGGACGGCGCCTGTCTATTCCGTGCTGTAGGTGAGTCTCTGCCTCAGCCCTCAAGGGCCTAGGGCTGCCCTTGAGCTGAATTCCAGTTGTCAGGAATAACCCCAAAGACCTGGTTGAGGCAGAAGTAGCTGATGTCTTAGGATCTTTGGGCTCTAGCCTTAAATTAGTGTTCAGCTCCTAGTTCTGGGTCATGCGACGGTGGTGTAGTGATAAAGAAAATAATGTGCTTAGGGACAGATTGCTCTTCTGGCATTACAGGCAACCCTGTTAATTCTCCCCCAAACTAGGTGAGTATAGGGATTATTATTGCTTCCCTTGGTCAGATGGGAAGAGCGACTCAGAACTAGAGTGACTTGGTCAGGGTCACTCAAAGATAGTTATGTGACAGAGTTGAAATTTAGAGTCTGGGTCAGATTAAATTGTCTGAAGCTCATGCTCAACCACAGCACACTGCTGTCATTCTGGGGCATTGGTTACCTGGGTTTTCACTAAACTCAAACCCTGTGTCTGGTCTATCTGGGGGTAGATTTCCATATTCATTCTCTCCCCCCTCCCGTGTGTGTGTGTCTGTGTGTGTGTCTGTGTGTGTGTGTGTGTGTGTGTGTGTGTGTCTGTGTCTGTGTGAGAGAGAGAGAGACAGAAACAGAGAGAAACCAGATCTTTACACACTTCTATTACAGTTTTTTACACAATTTTTTTACAGAAAAGAGAAAATACTGAACCTTTATGTATCCGTTATCCAGCTTCAAAATAGTTAACACATATATACCGTTTTCATCACTGCCCCACCCACTCTCACTCCCCTGAAAGGGTATATTTAAAGCAAAACCCTGACATAGGATCATTTCACTCATAAATATTTCTGTACATTTCTCTGACAGATACATGCTCTCTTTTAAAAACAATCAAAATGCTGGGCCGGGGATTTAGTTCAGTGGTTCTGGCGCCTGCCTCGCAAGCGCAAGGTCCCGAGTTCGATCCCAGGTACCAAAAAAAACAATCAAAATGCTATTGTTGCACTAACAGAATTAATAATTTCTTAATACCATCTGCTAGCCAGCCTGAGCTAGATCATTGAGTCCGTTCTGGTTCTGAATCTGACCCAGCAAGTAGTCTTCAGGTCCCATGTTGGTGTGAAAGGGAAAGTGGGAGTATAACCTGTTCCTCTTGTTGGTTCTGCTGCCTCCCAAGGTAAAGTACCCCCTGATAGGAGCTTTGAGCCTGGGAGTCAGTAGCTTCTAGTTCTGGCCCTGACTCCTAACTGCTATGTGGCACTTGGCCTCCATTTCCCCATCTGAGAGATAATGGTGCTCTCAAAGGACCTTAAGTTCCTTGTAAATCTGCTTTTCATTCCCCCACCCCCCAGACTCCTTTCAGTGTCTCTGATTCTTGGTGTGACCTTGGGAAAGCAGCTTTTTTTTCCTGAGCTGCTTTCCTTAGCTGTAAAGTGGGACTAAAAGGCCCTGCTGTTAAGCCAGGCATGGTGGTGCATGCCTGTAATTCCAGCACTTGGGAGGTTGAGGCAGGAGGATGGAAAGTCCAGGCCAGCCTGGAGTATTTAGTGAGACCCTATCTCAAAAAAAAAAAAAGAGAGCGAGAAAGAGAAAAAAACGACCCATGATAGTTTAATGAGTTTAATACTTTGCTAAATCTCTTTATTGCCTGACACAATAGAACAGTGATGGCAAACCTTTTAGAGCTTTCATTGATAAAAACAGCCTGCTGTGGCATGTGTACCATGGGTTAGCCACCACTATAATAGAATTGATAGCAGTGGTAAGCCCTGGATGCTATGGTGCCACCAAGCTGTACATGTTTTAAGAGGTGGGTTCTCTTGGGCTAGAAAAACTCCTAACTGTCCTGTCCCTGTGGTTCATGTTCTCTCTGTAGAGAAAGAGGTGGTTTGGAGGCATCTTGGATAAAAGACAGAGAGAGCAGATGGAGTCCTGTTACATGCTAGTTGTGTCGAGACCTCAGGCTGTATTTGGGGAAGCAGGGCTGCTGGTAGAATTGTGTATCTGAGTCTTGGGTAGTCACAGGCAGACCTGGAGGCCAGTGAGGGCCTGGTGTGTGCAGTAACCCTATCAAGAATCAGTATCTGTGCATGTGTGTCTAGCTAGCTATTCTCTTCAAATAGCCCGATGCCCCCCTCCATTGGGGCCTTCCAGTAAGGGCCCACTCTTACAGGAAGAGCTGACCACAGCAGGTTGAAGGCCTTTCCTTATCAGCACTATGGCTACACATTTCCTCTGACTGGGCTGCCCTCAGCTTTTCTCTGTAAAACCTCAGAAGTCTCATGCCCTCTCCAGAAGTACGTGGCCCCTGGTCTCTAGGCCTCACCTAGAGGTTTCCCTGGTGCAGAGTACATAATACATGCGCTTGGGAAGGGGACTTTGTCCCCAGGCCTCTGCATCCCCCTCTTTCCAGCCCAGCCTCTGCAGAGACAGATGGCAGTCACCGTAGGCTCTGATGCAGGTGCTGACTGTTCTGCCATGCATTGAATAGTGGAAGGAACACATAACTGAGAGGTGGGGGTGGGTGAGTTGCAAACATAGAGGGCACTCTGTTGTTTCCCTGACCCCTACTATGTGCCAAGCATTCAGCTGGGTGCTTTATGCTCACCTGCAAAATTTAGATCATTATTCCATGAGACAGAGGAGAAGATTGAGGCTCAGAAAAGCAGGGCTTATCGTATATAGCTCAGTGGTTGAGAACTTTTCTAGCATTTGCAAGGCCATGGGTTTGATCCCTGGCACTACTCCCCCTTCCCCCCCCAAAAGGAAATGATGTACTCACAGTCATTAGTGGCAGAGCTGCGTGTATTCCTTTTTCTCTCTCTTTCTCCTTTTCTTCCTTCCCTGCCCCCTCCCTTCATTCCTCCCTTCCCGTCTGTTTTTGTCTTTCATCCATCCATCTATCTATCCTTTCTTCCCTCCCTCCCTCCCTTCCTTCCGTCTGTCTTTGAAACCAGGTCTTGCTATGATGCACAGGCTAATCTCAAACTCATGTCCTCAAGCAGTCTTCCTGCCTCTGCCTTCCAAGTAGCTGGGATGATAGACATGAGCCACCAAATCCCCCTCTGCGTCCCTTCTTTCTGGGCCAAGGTGTCCTCTGTGTGAACCAGTATCCATTGCTTGGACCCAGTTCTGTCCCACTACCTCCTCTTGGAGATTCATGAACATGAGGAAGGCTTGGGTGGATGGAGGTGGGAGCCCAAGTCTTAGAGTATCCTGTGGCCCACCCTGCTCTTCTCTGCCCAGATAACCTCCTCCTGGAGATGTGAGTCTGCTTCTTTTTCTCCTTCCCTCGATCTTTCTTTACATGTGGCTTTCACTTAGCAGAAACCTTTGCCCCTGGCCATGGCTCTGGTGCTGACCTCTGGGCGAAGTGTGGCGACCACGTGAGTGTGTTTGCATGGGCCGCCATGGAACATTTGGCGCTGTGCATATAATGGCGATAGGGCCCAGAAACATTAGCCAGATTCACTCTTCTGGGCCTTTTGGTCTTGGAACATGGGTGGCCGTCAGCACTGAGAAGGATAGGTCTTAGATCAGCTTTTTTGTGTGTGTGGTACTGGGGATTGAACCTATGGCCTTCACGCTGACCCCCCCCCCCATACACACACCACCTCTTTTATTGTATTGGGATTGAGCTACATTGCCAGCCCCCTTTATTTTTTGAGATAGGATCTCACTAAGTTGCCCGGGTTGGGCTCAAACTTGCAATCCATCTACCTCAGCCTCCCAGAGTCCTGGGATTATTACAAGCATGTACTACCACATCTGGCTGGATCTTAGATCAATTTTGACTTCTTTTTTTTTTGAGATTCTTGCTTGATTGTAGCTCAGGCTGGCTTTGAACCTACTATTGTAGCCCATCCTGGCCTGGAATTTGCAGTGTTGATCCTCCTGCCTCAGCTTCCCAAGTGCTGGAATTACAGGCATGTGCCAGTATGCCTGGTTTTACAGTTTTATAAATGGGGAAACTGATCCCTTGAGAAAGCCTAGACCCTATTCTACACATCTAGGTCACATAGCCAGCGTCAGAGCATCAGTGTTTGGGGTTGAACCGGGGCACAGAAGGAGAAGATTCCCATGGGCCATTTCTTGTACGCAAACTTCCTTTGACTTCTCTCTGCCCTGCATCCTTCTGTTTTTCATCTGTGCCCTGGGAATACTTGAGCAGAGGAGCAATCTCAGGGAGCAGGCTATGGAATGCTGATGGGGTAGTTGGGGCTACAGACCAGGTGATACCATAGCTGCTTGACAGGTGGGTGGGACCTTTTTCCTGGTTTCTTTTTCTTTGATGGGGCCAGGGTTCCCACTGGCACAGGAGGGCAGTGGGGAGCAGACAAGGTCACTCACTGTCTCCTCCTGATGTTACGTTTACCCACATTTGGGTGGTTTGTTTTTAGGTTCCCTGAAGACACCATGCTTCCTTTTCTGTTCTTTTTTTTTTTTTTTGGTACCGGGGATCGAATTCGGGTCCTTGCGCTTGTGCAGCAGGCAGTGAAACCACTGAGCTAAATCCCCGGCCCTCCTTTTCTGTTCTTAGCAGAACTTGCTCTGGCTCTTCTGGTAGGCAGGCAAGTGGTAACCTGGGGAGTAGGTGGTTCCCAGGCTCCTCTAAAGCAAATGGGAGGATCCTATACTTAAAGCTCTTTAGAAAGAGAATTCAGAGTCTCCTTAGTCTTTTTTTTTTTTCCCTGCGGTACCGGGGCTCGAACTCAGGACCTTCCTCTTTCCAGGCAAGTGTGGAACATTAGTTATATTTTAGGTAACCTGGGGAGGAAGGCCTTCCCCCAGATAGCAGGAGAGAGGCTGAAGGCAAATCTGTTAGCGCATTAGTCATACCCTGTCCCACCTACCTTGGCAAAGGCTAGGAAGGAAGTGGGGAGGTTCCTGAGTTTACACAGCCTCACATCTTATCCAGCCTTCAGTCTTTCCTGGTTGGTGGCAAGGGCAGTCTACTCACTGCATGCAATACTTCTCTGTTGTGGGGTTTATTGTTTGGGTATTTTGTATGAGAGCAACTTTGACATGCCCTGCTGGCTGTACGTGGGTACACATGCGCATTTCTCCTCTGCTGGTGCCTCCCTGTGCTCAGGGAGGAAAGAAATGTGCTTTGTGTAGGTGGGTGAGGGTGGGGGTAAGGTTTGTGCTGACCTCTGTGGCCCTAAGGAAGGGTACAGCCCCTGACTGATACCTGTAATCTCTGCTTAGTCCTAGGCTTTCCTGGGTTCTAGATGATTCCTGCTTGTGCTGGCCAGAACACTGAGGTAGACAGGATCAGGCCTAGCTCTAGGAAGTAAGGTGACTAAGGTGATAGCTGGCTTGGGTGAGGGGTGGTAATGTCACTTGGGGCCTGAAGTTACCCATTGAGAGCCTGGCTTCACCTTCAACACCTCCACTCCATATGTGTGATTTCAGGCCATCTGTCCCATATTGCTGTGTCAGTGTCCCTCCTGGGTAAAGTAGGATTTGGTGGGGGTGGGGCGGGTGTCTAATGAGTTGGAGTGTGAAAAGCCTTTGGCAGCCGGGCATGGTGGCGCACGCCTGTAATCCCAGCACTCGGGAGGCTGAGGCAGGAGGATTGATTCGAGTTTGAGGCCAGCCTGGGCTTACATAGTGAGTTCAAGGCCAGCCTGGACTAAACAGCAAAACCCTGTCTCAAAAAACAAAACAAAACAAAAAAAGCATTTGGTGGAACCAGTTATTGTAGTGTATTAAGAATTCTGAGCCCTGTTTGGAATGGGAACAGAGGTGGGGAGGGGACCCCTTCCAGCATCCAGCTGGAAGGGGGATAGCAGGTGCAGATGGCCAAATGCAGCGTCATCAAGAGGAGGAGTTTCAGTTTCTGTCAAAACAAGTTCTCTGAATTCCCCTACCTCTGCAGGTCCATTGTGTGTCTCTTCCCCACCTTGCACAGGGAAGTCTAGTCCAGCCCCCAGCCCCATGTGCCAACCTTCTGGGAGGAGGGCTTCCCAAGAACAGAGATAGGGCTAAGAAAGTCGGAAAAGCTAGTTGCCCTGTGCTGGATGCTTTTCCTGCTTCCAACATTGAATAAATCCTTGTGCTCTCCCTTGTTGGGGAGGTACTGTTGCTGTTTCCTTGGCTCAGAGATGCTGATTTTCTTCCATATTAATGATTCTAAAATGAGGGTACAGTTTATAATGGGGGGTCCCCAAAAGTGGTGTTGACTGTAGAAGTGTCAACGCCCTTAAGTGTCATACTCAAGAGTTCTTAGTGGGCATGGTGGTACAGGCCTGTAATCCCAGCACTCGGAAAGCTGAGGCAGGAGGGTCGCTGTGAGTTCGAGCTTAGTCTGGACTACATTGTGAGTCCAAGGCCAGCCTGAACTACACAGCGAGACCCTGTCTCCCCCCACCCCAAATAAAACCTATTTGGAAAGACTGTGTTACTAGTGTGATATGAATTTAGTCACTATAAAGTTTTGAACAAAGGGCACAGAGGACCTTTGGATTCAGGAAGACAAAAGAGCCAGTGCTGCTTGCAAGAGGAGGGTCAGCCTCTGCTCTGCATTTGGGGCTTTCCTCTGGCAGAGGAAGTGCAACAGAAATGAGGAAACACTTAATAGTGGTTCCAGAAGCATTCTGGCTGACTTGTAGATAGCTAGCAGTATGGTGGAGTCATTGTCTTCATGGCAAATGGAGCTCTCACTTGTAGTCTTGACAACAAACACCCCATTAGTGGATGAAGATTTACTGTCCCTGCTTTATGGGTAAGGACATTTCAGCTGAGGGAGGTTAAAGGCCTTGTCCAGTGTCACACAGCCAGCAAATGGCAGGGCCTTGCTGCCAAGTGAAGGAGTCACTGGCATGAAAAACGGGACGAGCTTTATAGCATTCTGCCCCAGCTCCCTTTCCTCTCCCTTTTTAAAAAAATTTCCCTGTCTCTGGCTCCCACGCCTGCCAGTGTTTGCTGACCCTTCCATAGGAAGTATGCGTTCTGCAACACCTGAGCCTGGCTGTGGACCTGTTTAACTCCTTCACTTCCATCTCAGTTCCTGTTTACTGCAGCTGCAGACAGTACTGCCTGCTGGGACCCCAAGCTCAGCCTACAGAAATAGCTCCTCTAGCAGCCCAGGCAGCCACAGAGGGCTCTGTGGTCCTGGCTTCTAAGAAAGGCAGCAGCAGGGGGCCCCCAGCCTGTGTTCAGGACATGTGACTTGCTGGAAGTGCCTGGGGGGTGGCGGGAGTGTGTGGCCGCACAAGCCACATCCTTGTTTACATCGGTGAAGGGGCTACCCCTTCCTGCCTTCACAGCTGCATCCCCCACCCTCAACCTCCCGTCACCTCCAGGGGGACTTGAGACAGGCAGTCCGGTTTTCTATCTGAGTGGCCTTTATCTAATTGCACGGAACCCTCCAGGGAGGGAAGGGGTGGATAGTAAAGGCCTTCTTTTGGCAGGTCTTCAGAGAGCTAGACTGCTGGGCAAGGAAGAGCTCTGCAGTGTTCCCTTTGCACCCTGCCCCTGCCCTGGCGTCCCAGGGAGATCCCATCAGAGCAGTGGCCCTCAGGGGAACCAGAGGGAAATTCCCTCTTGGTAACAGCCAGTGGAAATCAGGCTTGTTTAGGGCTGCTCTAATTTCCTAGAGAGAAGTGCTCTGCAAACTGTCCCTGATTTCCTTTGCAATACTGGGGCCTGAGCTGGGAGTGGGCCGAGGCATGACCTGCCCTGTGCTGTGGGTCAGAAGTCTGCATGCCTTTGAGAAATGCAGCAAAAGAGGTGCCCTGGGGGGGTGGGGAAGTGCGCTGAAAATTCGAGGTGGGCAGGGGTGGTAGTACATGTTTGTAATTCTTGTACTCAGAGAGACTGAGGCAGGAGGATTCCAAGTTCAAGCCCAGCCCGGGCAACTTAGAGACTTGGTGAGATTGTCTCAAATAAGAAAGGAATTGGGGGTATAGGTCAGTGTGAAGGCCCTGAGTTCAATCCCTAGTACTGCCAAAAACCAAACAAACGTAGTGGACTCTGGGGTGTGGGTCAGTAGTACCTAGAATATGTGAGGTCCTAGATTCAATCCCTGGTCTCACACACACACACACACACACACACACACACACACACACACACACAACACACTGGTATTTGAGAAGTAGGTACCGAAGAGAATGGAAACAGGGTCCTAAGGTGAGTATGGTGGTGCACGCCTGTAATTCCAGCACTCGGAAGGCTGAGGCCACAAGTTCAAGGGCAGTCTCGGCTACATAGTGAGTTCAAGGCCAGCCTGAATTACATAGCAACACCCTATCTAAAAAACCGAAAAAAGAAAAAAATAAGAAGAAGGTCCTGAAGAGTGGAAACAGTATGTACAGTGATCCTCAAGCCGGCAGATGGAGGAGCCTGGTTGCTTCTCCTTAGTTTGACCAAATCCCATGGCACCTGGACCATTTGGGCCACAGGCTACCTTTCCTGAATTAAGATGAATTTAGGTGCATGTGTGTTCTCTCTCTTACTAGACTGTGCTCTTTGAAAGTAGGGACAGGATTTTGCTCCTTTAGGCCTCACTACAAAGAAGGGAACCCTGATTTACCTAGTGACTTCTCTGTCTCAGGCCCACTGCTAATCAGATTACATCCATTATTTTTTTGAGCTCCACAAGAGGCCTGCTAGCTCATTATGCATCCCGTTTCCATTTTACAGTTGAGACGTACAAGGCTCAGAACACTTGAATCACTTGCCCTTGGCCACTAAGCACACTGGTATCTGGAGGAACTGGACTTAGAGCTCTTCTTCTCTTTTCTTCCCTTTTTTTTTTTGATACTGGGAATTGAACTCAGGACCTTGTGCTTGCCAGGCAGACACAGCACCAATGAGCTAAATCCCTGGCCCACTCCTCTCTTTTCTTCTCTTTCCTTTCTTCCTTGCCTTCCTGACCCATACTTCCTTTTCTTTTTTCCTTGTTCTTTTATTTCCTTCTTTGGTGCTAGACTGATCCCTGGACCCCTGAGCTGCACTTCTAGCTAGTCTTTTTTTAAAAATTAATTAATTAATTAATTATTTGGGGTGGGAGTTGAGACAGGATCTCACTATGTAGCGCAGGTTGGCCTTAAACTCAGCATATAGTTTAGGCGATCCTCCTGCCTCAGCCTCCCGAGTGCTGGGATTACAGGTGTGTGCCACCACATCTGGCTAATCTTTTTTATTTTAACCTGCAAAGGCCATGCTGATTCCTGGGTGTGAGGAAAACTGAATTTCAGAGTTGACTTTGGTACAGATTGAGTCTCTGTGACCTTGGGCAAACCGTGAAATTTCTCTCAGCTTCAGTCTCCTCATGTGAGAATTGAGTGTGGTGGAATGGATCGTGCCACTTGTTGGACTTAAAAGGTTATCAGTTTGTCAGATTGATCAGGTGTGCCCTAAACAGTCATGTGTTAAGAGACCTGTGATTGTCTCAGTCTTGCCTGTATTCTCTTGCTCAGGATTGTCCTTGTCTGCCTCTTTTTCCATGACCCATTCCAGCTCACAGGGGTAAGGATTCTCCAGGCCTTGGGGTAGGAAAGGGGGTTTCCCTCATCCCCTAGCCTCCCCTCCCTCAAAGATGTCCCATGACTCAGAACTCTTCTGTGGTGGCGACTTTTACCCTAGCCTCTTCTTTCTTCTGTCCTCCTAGCTGACCAGGTGTATGGAGACCAGGATATGCATGAAGTTGTGCGAAAGCACTGTATGGACTATCTGGTGAGACTCTGGTTTTGGGTTTGGGTCAAGGATGGGTTGAGGGATCTCCTTTGCATGTAAACTCTGACCTCCTGATCTGTTCTGCAGATGAAGAATGCTGACTACTTCTCCAACTACGTCACAGAGGACTTCACCACCTACATCAACCGGAAGCGGAAAAACAACTGCCACGGAAACCACATTGAGATGCAGGCCATGGCGGAGATGTACAACCGTCCCGTGGAGGTGTATCAGTACAGCACAGGTACTTCTGTAGTGGGTAGGTGAGGGACTAATAGTGCCTTGTCTGATCCTGCCACACCCGGCCCCCTGTGGATGCTCCCTCCTTCTCTTTCTCTGCAGAACCTATCAACACATTCCATGGGATCCATCAAAATGAGGATGAACCCATCCGTGTCAGCTATCATCGGAATATCCACTACAATTCAGTGGTGAATCCTAACAAGGCCACCATTGGTGTGGGGCTGGGCCTGCCATCATTCAAACCGGGGGTAAGTGGGTCCCTGTGCCCAAGATGGCTGCTGGATATGGACAAAACCATCTAGGGACTTTGCTGGGCATGGTGACATACACCTGTAATCCCAGCACTCAGGAAGCTGAGGCAGGAGGATTGCTGCAAATCCCAGGCCAGCCTGGACTACATAGTGAGTTCAAGGCTAGCTTGAACTGTATAGTGAGACCCTGTCTCAAAACCAAACAAAATTAGGGAGTTATCATAGATCATTGCTTAGGGCTCACTCTGTGGTCTCAGTTGGCTTGCCCATGAGTTGGCTCCGGTGTCTTTCGTGCCTATTGAGGGCTGGCATTTTAGGATATGGAGTCCTGTTTGGGGACATTAAGCCAGGGATCAGGCTGGATGTCCTGGTCTACCTAAATCTTCCTCCCAGCACCTATAAACAGCTAGGATCAGAGACTTGGACTAGCTGTGGACCTTAGGGTGCATTCTATGAGCACTCCAGGCTACAGCTTGGCTAATGCAAAAAAAACACTTTCCACCAGCCCTGGGAGCCTCGTAGGTGTCAGAAGGTCGTGGTGCATTTTACCACGTCATGCTGGTTGATTCTCTTTCTACCCTGTGTGTCTCTCATCACTAGTAGTCAGCTGGGGAAGATATTGAGGTCTTCTAGTCAGGTTTCACTTCCAACAAACAGAAAGTGCTCCTGCCTCATTTTAGGAAACACCCTAACACTACTAACACATTCTCCAACGTAGGGGGGTTTTTGTTTTCTTTTTTAATAAACTTAATTTTAGAAGTTTTCGATTTACAGAATTATTATGTGAATATTACTGTTTCCATATGCCCCAATATGATTAACATACTAGCAGAATACATTTGTCATAATTAGTGAACGGTATCAATATAGTGTTAACTAAAGACCACGTCTAATTAAGTTATCTGATGACATTTTTCTGTTCTAGACTCCTATCCAGAATGCCACCTTACAGTTTGTTTTATCCTCTTTGACTCCTTGTCCGGGACAGTTTGTCAGAATTTCCTTTTTTTTTTTTTTTTCTTTTGAATGGGGCAGTTTGAGACAGGGTCTCACTGTGTAGTTCAGGCTGGTCTTGAACTCACTGTGTAGCTCAGGTTGCCCTCAAACTCTTGGGGATCCTCCTGCCTCAGCCTCCCGAGTGTTGGGATTACAGGTGTGCACCACCATGCCGGGCTCCTTATTTTTCTTTTTGATCTGTTTACAGACTATAGTTTAGCCTTTCCTAGAATGTCATATAATTGTAATTATACAGTATGTCTGTAGTTTTTTAGATTTTTTCACTTTATGGATTTAAGATTCGTCCATGACTTTCCTGGATTAATTTTTTTTTAACATTTTTTTTTTGGTACCGGGGATCTAACCCAGGTCCTTGCCCTTGCACAGCAGGCGGCGAAACCACTGAGCTAAATCCCTAGCCCTCCCTGATTTAAAAATTTGAATGTTTTGAGTTTTTCTGATTAATAAATTTAATTTAGAGCAGTTTTAGATTTACAGAACAATTGAGAAGAGAATACAGAGTTCACATCTAGTCCCCTCCCCCCCCTGCACAATTTAGCTATTATTAACATCTCAGATGACTCTAGTACTTTGTTACAATATATAAACCAATATTGATACATTATTATTAACTGAAGTCAGTGAGCCTCCTTTTCTGTTATAGTTTCTCACACTTTCCTTGTTTTGAGGACCTTGACATTTTGAAGGAGTACTGTTCAAGTGTATTGTGGGAAACTCCTATTTTAGAATTTGTCGATTTTTTTTTTAACTGTAGCACAGTTTATTTAAAGGTAGGGAAAGAAGCAGGCTCTGTGGAGCAAGTTTGGGCCAAGTAAAAGGAAAAGAAGTGCACCCTACAGCATGAGGGTGGCGACCATGCAACAGCAAACACTGTGTCCTTGTCCAGTGATCTTATGAGTACACTGGGAATGTGGGTTTGGGGAGGAAGATCACAGAAGTGACATTTTCATTACATTATATCAGGAGTACAACCTGGACGTGGTGGTGCGGGCCTGTAATCCCAGCACTCCAGAGGCTGAGACAGGAGGATCACCACGAGTTCGAGGCCAGCATGGCTACATAGTGAGTTCAAGGCCAGTCTGAATTACAGAGTGAAACCCTGTCTCAAAAAAGAAAAACAAAAAAGAACAATAGTGGGAATGTGATTATGACAGTTGATGTCCTTGATCACCTAGCAGCAATAGTGTTTGTCAGTTTTCTTCATTTTAAAGTTATTCCGTCCCACCTTTTCCATACTGTACTGTATGGAAGGAACTCACACTTGGGGCATAATATCTATGCAGATTATTTGGAATTGTTCTGCAAGGGAGATTGGTGTCTCATCTCCCATTTATTAATGTATTCACTCATTCACTTATGTCACTGTCACTTCAGCATGTTCATTTTACACTTTGGGTTATAATCCCATCTTGCTTTTATTTCTTGCTCAGATTGTTCCAACTTTTTTTCCCCACAGTACTAGGGATCAAACCCAGGGCCTTATGCCTGCCTGCCAAGTGCTCTAGCACAGAGCTAGCTATACCTTCAAGCCCCTGTTAGCAACATTTTTTTTAAAGCATATCCTTATTTTTCAGTACTACAAGGTGTTCCAGGTTCACCTTGTGTATTTCTTTCTTACTCCTACAATCAACCATTTTTCCAAGGAGCTCTGGAGCCTTTTATTAGAGAAGGTTATTTGAGACTAAGATCTAGGTGCTGAGTATGCTGTTTGCATGCTACTACGTTGTTCTTGTTTCTAGACCCTCTCAGCTAACAGAGAGCAAAGAGTTTTATATGTGTGTACTAAACTGTGTGTAAACACGTATCTATAGAAATTTCTGTATATAACCAACTCAAAACCTTTACCATGTGCATCATTCTAGCCTTCTGGTGTTCATCAGTAAATTCCCACGCCCTGGTAAGAAACCTGGCTGCACCACCCCAGCGTGCATTTACTCAGCTGCTGCTACTTGCAAAGCTAGGGCAGACTCATTAATCCATACCCCCTAGAGCACAGTGATATGCACAGTTCTTTTGCCTTTTGCCTTTAGTGTTACAGATTCCATTCATTTCCAAAGTGATTTAAGTCTCCAAACCCCCTACCTGAAGTTCTTGCATACATTTATAATTCATTTAGAGTCTTTTGTCAGTCTGCTTTCCAAGGAGGGATCTCCACCTCTTAATGGTCTTTTTTTAAAAAAACAGCGTGCATTAAGGTTCAGTCTTTGTTTTGTAAAGTTCCATGGGTTTTTACAAGTGCATAACAACATCATGTATCCACCATTACAGGATCATTCAGAATCCTTTCACCAACCTTAAAATTTCCTGAACTCCATATGTTCTCTCTCCCTTCCTCCCTCCTCCTGCAACCACTGATTTGTTTATTGACTTGGTGGTTTTGCCTTTTTTTTCAGAATATGATATAATTGGAATCATACAGTGTGAACTCTTTTCAAACTGCCTTCATTTAGCAGGATGCATTAAAGGCTCCTCCATGTGTTTTCATGCCTTGTTAGCTTGATTCTCTCTTATCACTTACTGTTCCATTTACTGAGGCACCAGTTTGTTTAACCATTTACCTATTGAAAGACATTCTTGGTTGATTTCAGCTTTTGATGATTAGGAATAAAGCCTCTGTCAACTGCTGTGTGCAGGTTTTTGTGTGGACATAAGTTTTTAGATCAGTTGTGTAAATATCTAGGTGAGAGATTGCTGGATTTGAAGACCATGTTTTGATTTATAAGAAACTGCCAATCTGTCAAAGTGGTTGTCCAGAGTTGCACCCTCACCCTAATACAGTAAATAAAAATTCCTGTTGCTCTGCACCTTTTTATTTTTATTTATTTTTTCCTTAAATTCTTTTATTGGTACATTTTAGGTATACAATATGTTTACATTTATCATT